AGGAGGGACAGCCCAATGGAGCCCGGAGGGGGAGCAGGCTGTGTGTGGGCCGGAGATGCGCCACCCGCCGCCGTGGCTCCCACAGGTCACGGGGTGTCCCCCTCCCTCCGGGCGCACACGGGGCCTGTTTAATGCCCAGCTGATACAGGGGGGGGCTCGCCCAGTTCAGGCTGTGGGGGAGGCTCCGCAAGGTGCCGCGCTGCCCAAAGGGCTCCGAGTTCTCTGTGCCTCGGTGCTGTCATCTGTGAAGTGGGTGACAGCTACCCAGCAGGGACGGACCGAGGAGAAGCCACACGCAGGCGAGAGCGAGGGCGTGGGCCTGGCCAGCGAACTGCAGTGAGTCCCCAGAAGCTGGGGCACAGCCAGTCCACAGGCCACGCGGGAGGGGGAGCAGGACAGGGCGGGGGAGGAAGGGTCCGGCCCAGGGCCGTGGTCTGAGGGACGCCCAGCCTCCACCCCGCACACTGGTGTCCGCACAGCCCCACGGAGCTGTCCCCGGGCCGACGGGAGCGTTGGTGAGGGCTGCAGCCTCTCTGGGAGGGTGCAGGGCGACCACAGGGGCAGGACTCGGGGAGCAGGCGATGACTCACCGCCCCACAGCCTCCGGGGGAGGGGACGGCAGTGAGAAACGCAGGCCGGAAACCATCGCAGGCGGAAACCATCCCAGCGCAGATAACCCCCAGGAGCCTCAGCCTAATTAGAGGAGTCATCGCCCCCAGGAGCCGCGCCTGGGGGGATGTGTGTGAGGGGGGATGCGTGTGAGGCGTCTGGGGTCTGTCTCCCAGCGGCAAGCCCGCAAGTCTCTGGGGAAATCGCCTCTCCCTGCCAGGGGACTGCACAGCCAGGGGGCGGCACGGCCTGGGGGCGGCACGGCCAGGGGCCTTTGGCCTCCGGAGCAGAGCAGGGGAGCCCCAGGCCCCTGCCTTTGGGGAAGCAGGGAGGGGGGTAGCGGGCAGAGCTCTGTTCCTGGGCGGGAGGTCGAAGCCAGGATGGGGTCTCGCCTGCCCTGCCCCAAGGGCCCGGGCACCCTGCATCTCCGTGTGGCTCAGCCTTGGGTCCTTCGTTAAACATTCACAAGACCTTGTCCCCCAAAACTGCTCCCGCCAGTGTCTCCTCACGGCCCCGAGGCTCAGGGAGTCAGCACCCTCCCCTTCCTGCGGCCGCCACTGCATCCCAGTGCTCACGGGGTCAGCCGCCCTGGCCTCTCTCCTTTTCTCTTCAATTTTTTTTTTAATTTTAGAGAGAGCGAGAAGGAGAGAGAGAAACCTCTATGAGAGAGAACCATGGATCAGCTGCCTCCTGCACGCCCCACACTGGGGATCGAACCTGCCACCCGGGCCTGAGCCCGGACCGGGAATCGAACCCTGACCTCCTGGTTCCTAGGCTGACGCTCAGCACTGAGCCGCACCGTTTTGAAAGAATCTGCCTCACGGCAAAGCTTTCAGTGCAGCTGTAAATGCGGCCGGAGCCATGCGAGCGGCTCCCTGGAGGAAGTGGCATTGAGTGGGCGCTCAGGACGGGGAGGGTCGGGGTGAAGGAGCATGTGCAGACCCCTGCCGCCATCCCTGCCCTCTCGGGAGACCTCACCCCAGGGCCACAGCCTGGGGGGGCTCAGGCCGCCCTTCCTTCCAGAGTCCTTCACGCCCGACCACAAGCCCCTGATGGGGGAGGCGCCCGAGCTCCGAGGCTTCTTCCTGGGCTGCGGCTTCAACAGCGCAGGTGGGTCCGGGCAGCAGGTATCTCCTTCAGCTCCTGGGGCTCCCCCAGGCAGGGTGAGGGGCTCCCCCAGGCGGTTGAAGGGCTCCCCCAGGTGGGGTGAGGGGCGGCCAGGAGCCCTGCGCCCACAGGGGTGGGGACAGAGGCCTGCAGGGACGGGGTGAGGTCCCATTGGGAGGCCTGCAGTGCCCCAGGTGTGAGATCCCCGGGGGATGGGGTGAGCAGCTCTGACATGGGCTGCAGACTGTGGCTCCCCTCCCGGCAGGAATGATGCTGGGCGGCGGCTGCGGGCAGGAGCTGGCCCACTGGATTGTCCATGGGCGCCCGGAGAAGGACATGTACGGCTACGACATCAGGCGAGTGCACCTGACACCGGCGGGCAGGGCTGGCTCCTCCCCCGCCGCCCTGGGACCTGGGTAGATAGCCAGGGCTAGAGAGAAAGGAGCCCTCCCTGAAACCTGGGGGGCTTCCTGGAAGAGGAGGCAGTGAGGGAGGCCAGGGAGGAAGGCTGCCAGGAGGGGGCGGTGCTGAGGCTGCCTGGGTCTGGCAGCTCCACCGCCCCTTACAAGTTCCAGGACCTCTAGTCACAGCGCCTTGCCTGGCCCACTGGCCAGCTCCGGGGTCAGCAGGGGGTCAGATCCTCCCACTGGGCAGATGGGAGGCCGAGGCCTGGGCGGAAGGGGCTGCGCCTGGCTGCCGGGGGCAGGGCTGAGCTGGGTGTTGGCGCGTGTTTGTGGCTGGGGGCCAGGCGCCCCCACGACGAGCAGTGTCCTCCCCGTGACCCGGGTGAGGTGTGTGCGCTGCTGGGTCGGTGCAAGTAAACCCTCCCCCGAGGCCTGCACGCGGCGGCGCTAAGTAAACCCGTGC